TTTAGGATTTCATCAAATAGCTCCAACAGAAAATAAATCCAAAATAACCCAATCTAACCCAAACTAACCCGTCCTCGAAATGCGACCCAATCTCTGTTTCTGAACTTCATCAAATTGCTCAAACAGAAAATGGATACAAAATAACCCAATCTAACCCAAACTGACCCGTCCTCGGAATGCGACCCAATCTCTGTTCCTGAACTTTATCAAATTTCTGAAACAGAAAATAAATACAAAATAACCCAAACTAACCCGTCCTCGGAATGCGACCCAATCTCTGTTCCTGAACTTTATCAAATTTCTCAAACAGAAAATGAATACAAAATAACCCAATCTAACCCAAACCAACTCGTCCTCGGAATGCGACCCAATCACTGTTTCTGAACTTCATCAAATTGCTCAAACAGAAAATGGATACAAAATAACCCAATCTAATCCAAACTGACCCGTCCTCGGAATGCGATCCAATCTCTGCCTTTGTTACTTAATTCACCTTTTTAAAATTCAGACAGCGCTCTTTTGTTACAGCGCTCTTTTGTGCAGCGCTATTTTGTTATAGCGCTGTTTTATTACAGCGCCCTTTTGTTACAGCGCTCTTTTATGCAGCGCTCTTTTGTTCCAGAGCCATTCATTTTACTATTCTTGAATTAAGCTTTGTATATAAAAAAGTTTCAGAACCGAACCTGACACAATTTGTATACCATGTGAAACCAAACTTCATTTAACTACGGTGTTCTTAGGAAATCCAAGAATTCTGACTTAAAAGTCGGAATTCCGAGATAAAAGTCTGAATTCCGAGATAAAAGTCGGAATTCCGAATTAAAAGTCGGAATTCCGAGATAAAAGTCGGAATTCCGAGAAAAAAGTCGGAATTACGAGATAAAAGTCGGAATTCCGAGATAAAAGTCGCAAATCCGAGATAAAAGTCGGAGGTCCTAGATAAAAGTCGAAAAGAGTTAAAAATAAAAAAATTGAGAATAAAGTGGCCCTTCTACGCTTCCGTAATTATGATATCACAATTGAGAGTCTCAATTTTTGAGGTGGAATTCACCGCCGCCCAAATGTTACAGTCATCGCTTATTATATATGTGCCCTGACCCTCATCATAATCACCAGTGCCCATTCCTAATTTTTGTGAGAACTTATTTATTAACTAAAAACAAGCACTATCTCCATACTTTCTTCAGGATTTTGAAAAGCTCTCATATCACCAAGGGTGACAACTGACTAACAGAGACATTTAGGTAAGCTCGTCAGTTTCATCGTTTCATGAAAGCCGAAAGACCTTTGAATTGATCAGGTGACCAAAGTTTGACTTGACCCGATCTATTTCCATTTAGGCTGAAGAAACAATAACAAATACCAGGTACAAAGTGACAAGGGACAAAAATATAATAACACGTGTATCAATACTGTAACCCAAAATAAGAGGATACATGGGTTAAATGGTTTAATACCTTTTGGTGGTCAATTTATAGGTACTATATTTAATTCCCCGTGTGAGGTTTGCTAGTCCTCCATCGAGCGCCTCCCCAGGTGACGGATACGGGAATGCCTCTCAGATATGAGTGGTACCAGGGAAATTAAATACCCGGGGCGGACCAAAACTGGCACTGCAGCGTCTGCCTCAGAGTGAGCGGCTGAAAACAGCGTCTGTCCCAGAATGGGCGGCTGAATCAAAACTCACCAACCCCAGGCGGCAAGCGTGGTGTTTTACTTGCCATTACCCCCTTTTACATACCATGGCGAATTTTAAAACAAATGGAACTGGTCCCCAGGTGGGTGGGAAATTTCCCAACTCCCACACCTCTATGGTCTGCCTCACGGAATCTGGGGGAGGCAAAAATTCGCTCCTAACAAAGATCAAAACCCCACGAAAACGACTAACACAACAAAAATCAAAGAAACTGATCAACCTAACAATAGGAACGTACAATATAAGATCAATGAACACTGACGAAAAGATACATGAACTGGAGAAACAGCTGACAAGAATAAAGTGGGACATAGTAGGCTTGTCAGAAACTCGAAGAAAAACTAAAAATCGAATAAAATTGGACTCCGGTAACCTGCTATACTACAAAGGTAATGAAAACAACAGTGACTTTGGAGTAGGATTTATTATAAATAAAGCGATAAGTAAACACGTCCAAACTATCCAGGGAGTCTCAGATCGGGTTGCTTATCTCGTACTTAAAATGAAAAGAACATCTCTTAAAATTATTCAAGTGTACGCCAGTTCAACATACGACGACGAGAGCATCGAAATATTCTATGAAGATATCTCAAAGGCTATGGAAAAACATAAAACTCGCCTTACTCTAGTAATTGGAGATTTCAATGCCAAACTTGGTAAGAAGCTGAATAAAGAAGAGACTGAAATAGGGGACTTTGGGTACGGTGAGAGGAACGATAGGGGAACTACCTTGATGAACTATCTAGAAGAAAAACATCTATATGCGATGAACTCGTTCTATAAGAAGAAACCGCAAAGAAAGTGGACATGGCTCAGCCCTAACGGAACAACGAGAAATGAAATTGACTACATACTGACCACTGAAAAATATATTATTAAAGATGTAACAGTCCTGAACAGATTCACCACAGGCAGCGATCACAGAATGGTCAGAGCAAAAATATGTATCGATGACAACTTTAAAATGAAAAAGAAAAGCTAATTAATGGAAACAAGGGACAACTAGACATGACCAAACTTGCACAAAATAAAATCATATACAAAGAGAGACTGAAGGAACAACTGACCCAGAACTTGAACAGCGATAATGAAAATATAGATAAAATATACGATACATTAGCGGAAACCATGGTTAGGGTAGGAAACGAAATCGCACAAAAAGATCAAAAGAAGGTAGATTGCATATCAGAAGAGACAAAGAAACTCATGGAAAGAAGGCGGAAACTGAACGAAGAAGGGAAAAGGAAATCGATAGAATACACAGAAATCAATAAGACCATCAGGAAAATGATAAAAGAAAACAAAAGAAAGAACCAAGAAATAGAAATAGAAAGATTCATAGAGAATAACAGGAATATGAAATGCCTAAGACCAACACTAGGAAGATAAGAGGGTTCTGAAAAAAATGAAAAACAGCAAAGCACCTGGAAAAGATGGAGTCACGGCAGAAATGCTAAAATACGGTGGAAAAACGGTCATCAATACTCTCCATACCCTACTCCATACCATATACCTAAATAAAATACTGAAAGAAAAGAAAATCTCAAACAACTGGAATGAATCCATTACAATCATCCTTCATAAGAAAGGTGATAGAACAGACTTGAAAAACTATCGACCTATAACAATCCTTAATGTAATTTATAAGCTCTTCACAAAAATTCCCACCACCAGGCTAACAATAACATTCGATGGTTACCAATCAAAAGAACAGGCCGGCTTCAGAAAGGGTTTCAGTACAAGTGACCACCTATTAACCATGAAAATCCTAATAGAACGAGCCAACGAATATCACATCCCACTATATATTGCATTTATCGACTTCGGAAACGCTTTTGATAGTGTTGAACATTGGGCAGTAAAGAGCTCATTAACTAATAGCAGAATAGACTACAGATACACAGACCTAGACCTAATAACCAACATATATAGCGAAGCAACAACAACTATTAAAGTCCATGAGGGAACAAAACCAATACCCATAGGAAGAAGTGTCAGACAGGGCGACACAATATCACCCAAACTTTTCAACCAGGCTCTGGAAGATGTTTTTAAAAAACTAGACTGGGAGGAAAAAGGTATTAAAACATGCGGACAACACTTGAGCAACTTAAGATACGCGGATGATATCGCCCTTATAACTGATAAGAAAGAAGAGATGACAGAAATGCTGGAAGAACTTGACACAGCAGCTAAAAACATAGGTCTCAATATGAACTACGCTAAAACTAAAACAATAACCAACACAGACGATGACATCATAATCAGAATAGGACAGGAAAAAATAGAACAAGTCGACGAATATATATATCTGGGACAGGTTATTAAACTCAGCAAAGAAAATCAAACAGCAGAAATCAAGAGACGAGTTAGATTAGCTTGGGCAGCATTCGGTAAATTAAGCTACATCTTGAAAAATAGAAAATATCCACAATACCTCAATTCCAAAGTTTATAATCAATGTATACCTACTTCCTGTTCTCACCTATGGATCCCAAACATGGACATTTACAAAGTCAAACATGGATAAAATAACAAAAGCACAAAGATCAATGGAAAGACAAATGTTACATGTGAAACTGATAGATAAAAAGAGGAACGAGTGGATAAGAAATAAAACGAGAGTAAGAGGCGTTAGAGAGGAGGTAGCAAAATTAAAATGGAAATTCGCAGGTCACAATATCAGACAAAAAGACGACCGATGGAATAAATGTATCTTAAGCTGGAGACCTTGGGAGAATAAGAGAAGTAGAGGAAGGCCCCAGATGAGGTATGCTGATGACCTGAAGAAGTACGCTGGAACCAGGTGGATGAACATGGCAACAGACAGAGAAGAATGGAGAAGACTGGGGGAGGCCAATGTCCAAAGATGGACTGAAAAAGGCTGAATAGATAGATAGATAGATATTTAATTCAATTCTTTAGGATACAATTTACTTTAGGATAAAATTTAGAATTACGAATATAAATTTTCGAATTTTTGTTATTTTCTATCTTGTTTCTTGTAAAACTTCGCCTCTAGCAACTTTTTTTTTTACATTCATATCAGCATCCGCATCCTACCTGGACGCTGGCCTAATATTGATGTTTAACACATCAAAGGACCACATCTAAAGCTTTTTAATCTATTCATGGTCTGGCACTCCTGAATCAAAACAGGGAGGCAAAGAATCAATGCTCTCCCGTCGACTCGCAGGATTGCAGTAGAACGTTTTGCAAAATGTTCCGATCCAGGTCCGATTTTTGCCGAATAACAACATCGGATCGAGCAGGCAGGGGATCTTCATCCCATCCATTCATTCGTCGAGCAACAAGGCAACGGCAACGAGCAACCGCAGTGGCAGTCCGTCGAAGTTGCGCGCCGGTTGTGTCGTTAGGAATATACAAAATACTATATACTGGGTGCATGCGTTCTGCCTGCGTACCTATTCTAAGCTGTGCAATCTTCGCGGCTCTTTCTTGACTGGCTTTAGCTTTTCGCTCGTTTCCTGCAAACGGCCAGCGAAACGCAGGTATTGAACCGGACTTCTCTTTTACGTTTTGGTGATTTTCTGTGTGACTTACCGTTTGGTGTTAATTGGTCGATTGGTGCTCTAGAGGCCAATTTTTTTTTGGGGAATCCCATTCATTAGTTCAGCTACGAGTATAAAAATGTAAGAACTTGAAAAATATTTTCTAGATTTTTAAATTCAATAATATAATTGCTTTTTAGGCAATACCTTTTTTTTAATGATTTATTTGAATCTTGCTAATTAATGATCAAGCCTCGAAGAGAATTGCATCTTAACGTTTTCAAGATTTTAATAAATCTAATCATCCAAACTTATAGTAGGTTTGATGTATTGCTATGGTTGTATATTTTGTTGAAAACCGTTTAGTAGCCAAATGATTTTTTTTTGTGAAAAGGTCGTCCCATAGTAAATGGATGGTTATCCAGGAGAAGTAAAAAGCGATATGAGCTATTTACTATTGCATCTCGGTAATCTAGAAAACGAGGAAAAAATACAAACACATTTTCCGACACAATTTGTTTTTGAAAAACTGTTAAAACCGTTCACCATTTTTTCTTGGTAGAACCCTAATGTAGGTATGTATAACAACGGACAAACCCATTTTTAACGTTGTGAAATTACTTCTGATAACCCATCGCCTACCTAATTTTGAGAATTTGAGTAAAAGGCATGAAATAAATTTCATAAACAAATTGAAAATAATTTTATTTCAATGATGATGCTTCTCGTATTTGGTGGTTTTGGCGATCCTAGCAACAATTGAAAGGTGTACTAATGAATTAATGTTTTACCAGCGGAGACTTTCTTACTGGTAATACTGATAGAAAAGGAAACATGTTATTGATAAGGTTTTCTATTTACTTCCTGCAATATTCCAATGGTCACGTTATTTTGGGTTTGGAAGAAGTGAATACCTACTACCTATTCTGTGTTTGAATCGTTAGTATATCCATATCGAAGAAGTATTTTTATACACTAAAATAATTTTTAACTGAATCACAGAAGATCGAAATTTCAATGGTGATTTGGTACAACGTTAGATCGTATATTCACTCAAATTTACTACCAATTTCCCAAGACACTCTCAGCAAAATTAAAAGACGTTTTACTTGCCTTCCAAGAAAACACTACCTACCCTATTATTCCAGTTCAGCAAGTTGCAAGCGAAAATAACATAAGCCATACGTCTCTATCAAAGTTAGTGAAATCATGTGCAATATGTCCTTCTGAAATATCATCTGAAATATCAGCTATCGATATTGGTCTACAGTCTATAGAAAACCCTCACTGGATGCGAGAAACACACACCCAAGGTCTGGTTTATCTTAGTTTATTTCATCACCATGCAGAACAGATATTCATGATAACCAAATACCTATGCATTCAGCAGATAGTGTTCCGCTTAATTATGTCTAAAATGTTCGACAACATTTGAGTGAAGCTTTCGCAAACTGTAGATAGGAAGAAGAAGGGGACCAAGATCGCAGAACCTGACTAATCCTCTGGATTACTACCTTAGAACCTAAGTTTACGAAACAAAACCAAAAAATTTTGAGGAACTTAGACAACGACAGGAAATTCGGCGAATAATTAAAACAAATTCAATTTGTCAAATTGTGTCGCAAAATATGTTTGTTTTTTTTCTCGTTTTATGAATTTATTCCAGCAACTTTATGATACCTACATTCAACGGCTTTTGCGAGTGGTTTCTAAAAAAGATAAACAAGAAAAAACAAGAAACCCTGCAACTTTTGCATAAAACTTTTTTTCGCGCCTTGTACACTTGGTGAAGAAGTTATAGGAATAGGGCAAAGTATAATAGATAGGTAACCCTGAACATTATAACGAAAGTGAAATATTTTTAACCACCCTGAAGATCTGTAATTTAGGACCCTCAAAACGTTCCCTACACAGGTAGCTACTCTTTTCTAAGAATGTAAATATTATACAAATGCTCTTACCCTGCACCTTTCTATTGATTTATTTGCTGTCTAATAAGCTAGACCTAAGTTATTAGGAAAATCATTAACTATTAATTTGAACTTGGTCCTACAAAAAATCGCCCCAGTGAATTTTTCATAACTAATCAGAAGTGTATCACGCAATCCTGCAATTCCCAAAAAAATTCCAGGAATCAAAACGAATATCATAATTAGAAAATGAATTTTTGAATTGAATTTATCTTAATCAATGTCAAGTACATTAACTTTGTTGTTATGGATTATAGCTAATAAGAAATGTGGAAAGTTTAGGTAGGTATATGTTAATTCATAAGGCACAGAAAAAATTAATTAGGTATTCCGCTACTGAACTGATGGAGTAAGATACCTACATCTTCCAAAAATGTATCGCCTATTTTGAACATTGTTATCTAGATATTCACACATGTTAGTGAATAGATGGGCAGATAATTAGTGAAAAGGGTGTGCTTATAGGTGGGTGCTCAAAATGAAAAGTAAGATCAATGAAGAACAAGAACAAGTCCTCGGGACCTCTTCAAATATGGACATCCCCTAAAACCAAAGCCACTTTACTGAAGAGACTATAAAGACACCTTCAAAATCCCAGAAAAAATATCCTCATAAATTATTGAAGATGGAAAAAACTTTCTTCAATATGAAAAAAGAAAACATACAAAATAGAAGTGTTTCCCAATTTTTTTCACTCTAAGATCATTTAAGGTATTTCACCTTCATATTTGTGGGCAAAACAAGAAGTGAAGAAGTAGTTACTTATCTATCTCCTCATTATAAATGAACTTACCAACCATTTAAAGAAATAGAAAAATTACTCCAGATATAACAAAAAACAGAAATAATCAAATCGTGTTTTACCTCCCAGTTTCAGAAGAAATTTGTAATGGTATTACTTAACCCCTCTCACATACAGAAATTAATTTAGCGGCCGGCTAAAGATAGGAAAATGGCTCATGGCTACAACTCATGCATTATGCAGATGATCTGGAGCTGGCCGAATTCATAATGAACAATCTTACTACTTGTCACATTTTCAACTGCTGCATGGTATCCAAGCAACAGATCTAGAAACATTGTTTCAAATTTCTTTATTGACTCTGTTGGACCATATTCAAAGCATTCAAAACCTACTAGGTACTTATCTTCGAACGTAAGATCCTGTGAAGAATATTAGGTGCTGATTGGCAGAATGGTAGGTAGGTATACATTTTGAGAGACAAACACCTATTAAATAATTAAATATTTCTATTTTATTAATGAGAAGTAGTTATTCTCTCATTTATTATGCTAAAATAATGAATTTCATTATTGTTTCCCGGTGAAGGTGTTTGCAATATATTCACTAAACTTCTTCTATTCCTCAATACTTTCGCAAATTCAAGTTCCTAGCTTTTGAATATAAAAAATTAAACACTTAACTCTTCTGAGGTACTTTTTATATAGGCTAGTTACTGCCCCAAGTGGATAGCAGTAGCTTGGGAACGAAAAATCAGTCCTATTTCTTAACAATACCCCTTGCGATACTAGGAGAACATCGTCAAATAACCAAAACAAGAACCACACAGAACGAATTCATTGAACTTTACCGATTGTAATCTCTGTCATTGTACATAAATAGTCGTAGTCGCAACCTACAACATGTGTGATCTTCGCCGTATATACAAGAATCCTATACCTACAAGTTTAGTTTACACTTTAGTTCGCCGGAAACCGTTACTTTAAATACGAATTTTATAATGGAAAAATAATATCGTCTTGGTTTAGTCGGTTAATGATGTTGGGATCAAATCAAGGTTATCGATTTCTTTGGTTGGAAATTTATAATTTATGTAAGATATATTATTCTTTTATTCGTTCATCTATAGACAAAACCCAAGGAGGAAGGTTTGTTAGAGGGGCAATGACTATCATCGATTTTATCGAATTTCGTCTATAACTCATATTATTGTAACAAAAATTTGCTAATAACTTCATACCTATATGCTCAGGTTTCTCTGTTAAGTAAAGTGCAACCACCATCATCACAATACAATTTACATTCGATCTTATTGAACGTCAATTTATTTTAATAAATGTTTATGGTACCCCATGCTCGAGGAAACTCAATTACCTATATTTACCTATTGGAAGCATTTTATGCGCGATATCAATATCAAATGTTTTCTTCACTTTTCCACAAAATGATATTTTATAATTTTATAAACAAAATACAAGTACTTAATTTCTTTCTAGCTGCTGATGCAGATGACAAGGAATTATCCAATGAATTTAAGTATCTAATTAAGGCCCGGTTTATTCAACTTCAGATAAACTTGCTGGTAACTATCTGCAAAATAAATTTACCAATCTATAATTCTCTTGGTCGGCGGATAACTGGCCGACCAATGAGATTGCAGATTGCGTTTTTATCTGACAGATTGCATACCTGACAGTTTATCAAAAGGTGAATAAACCAGCCCTAAGGATTCGACCGAGCTCTTGTTTAAACCGCACGTGAGAATACTGAAATTTTTCATTTACCGTGGAAATACTAATCAATCCTGTGTAAGTGTTACCTTATAATATGTTAAATTAATAAATACCATAGAGAGAATAGGTAAGAAAATATAATTTACCCATCAAATTATACCTTTGGTCATACAAAATAACATATAGGTTAAGCCTATTTTAAGAACATTAATATAACTAGCAATGAGGAAATCACATCAAATAATAATAAATCAGAACATAAATTGAAGAAGCAATATAAATATGACGATATTGCATTAAGCCCATTTCAGGTAGTAGTTCAGGGTCCCCAGGAACAATATAGGGCATCTACATCCAACGGCTCTTTGCTAAGATAATAAGATAATATATACTTTGAAAATGAGAAAATATAAACAGACCAATGAAGAAAGGAAAAAATAAAGTTATTAGGTATAGAATTTGAAACGCCAAGGGCAGCAAACAACTTACTTGAGAATAATGAGAATCAACAGTTAATAGATATACTATGTACATTCTTGAATACCTGGTCGCCTGTAAAGGAATAGAAAGAGGAATTTGAACCAGAAGAAATTAATAAGAATTCTAGTGTTCAAATGAAAATTTAACCCAGATCCGTGAGCATCTATGGACTAGAGATACCAGTAGAAAACAACATTATGCCAGTAACGCAATGCT